TACATGCGTGAGCCCTTCGTCATCCCTTTCGTAAACATTAATGACTACTAGCACACCGTATTAGGCCTCCTCCGATGACTTGGGCATGACAGACTGATACCCTTAGCAAGACACTAGGCCATTTTATGCTTGCTTCAGAAGATTGCAGGATCCGATCTTAATGGAGACGCTGGATATATTAAAGCAACTGTAAAATAGTTGGAAAATGTAAGCATTAGCATTTTGAGTAAGCATTGGCAACTTAAAAAGCGAAGTAAGCATTAGCAAATTAAAAAAGCTAAGTAAGCCCTAGCGATTTAGCATAAGCATAAGCATTGCGATTGGTCGCAGTACTGAAATAGCTCGAAAACACTTGGTTATACTGAAAATAGTCCAAATTACTCCGATAAGATGTAATTTTGATGCCAATTGGAGCTGTATGAACCATGCATATCTAACACAGTAGATTATTTCGCGGCATCAGGATGCGATGGCCATCTTGATAGCTCCAACGCTGCGGAGACCCAAGGTGCTGCAGACCACTGGCTCCCATTTCTACATCAAGAAAAGGCATTTTGCCTAAAAAAAAAACAAACATTCAGCTGGCTGAGTTCCTAGTCGCCTTGCTACGATATCTGACCCTCGACCTGATTCGCCGTGTTTTCATAACGGACTCTGGACTGACTGCGGGCTGATCAGGGGTCGATGTTCTGTAGCCTCTGCCGGTTCCACACTAAGACAGATCGTAGCTGAAAACCTCAGTGGACTTGTTTGGACGAGATCCCGCGATTGGTAATGCGTTTTATGTCAACATGCCGTTAACATGTCAGTAGTTGGCCCCATCATGCCAGGTCAAAGGTAAAAATTTTCTGAAAATCAAACGCCTTAAGGTTTACATGATCACATGTGCGATACCATGCCTAGCTGCGAAATGAACCTGAAATAGGTGTGCTGCTTGTTCAGTTCCTAGTACAATGGTGTGGAGTTCTAAGTGTTTTCAGTGCTGATGTCTGGCTCCCTTAATGTAACAGTGTCGGTTCGCCGCGCGCAATCCGTGGAATCGTCGCCTGCCGCCCACCGCTCGCGTCGGCCGTAGATCACCGCGCAATGATTCTCAGAAACCGCCGCTGCTTGGACACCAGAAGCGCCCGTGACATGATTTCAGTGTCCAAACACGCTCAGTGGACTGTCCCATAGGCTGCTGGTAATTTGGGTGTGATTCAGGGGTTTGCCACTTTCTAAAATCGGTTTGGGGCTGAGCCGCTCAATCTACCGCTAAATTCTTATTTCTCCCCGGATTTCAGCCACTTTGATTTGCGTTTTTGGTGCGAAAATTCTAAGAAAGAAATACATATTTTGTCGATTCCAAGATCGTTTTGGTGTTGAGGAATGACTTTTCATTTAAAGCCAATGTGATAGTGATAATGATGGTGCATAATGGTGCCGATATTGATAGTAATGGATACCTTGATTGATAGTGACGGCATCAGGTATCTAAGGTACCAGGTACCGCTCGGATAGCCTTTTTAATCACTATCTATCTAATCACTATCAATATCTTAAGATCACTATCTAAATACTTAATCCGGAGATATTCATTGCTTGGATAGCTGGGATCAGAGCTCACGCTAGAAAGTGGTCACTGCGCGAACCCTGGTCCCACCAGCCGGTCGTGAAACTCGATGTAAGCAGCGGAAGGTTGCTACGAGGTCTTAACGTGCCGCGATGATCGGGAAGGCCCGTCCCACCCTTTGACGTCAGCAGACATCAATTGCAGCCGCCCTACCCTGTGACGTCATCAAACAATCAATTGTGGCCGCTGCCACCGACTGCAGACCGACGCAGCCAGGGCCAAATGCTGGGCCCCTGAAGGGATTCGAGCCCACCGTACCACGGAGCGTGAATCCGAAGACTAGGCGCGTAACCAATGGAGCTACGTGAACAGATTGCTCCTTTGTATCGGAGGTATCAAGAGAGTAGCACCGGAAAACAGTCAGTAATTCAGCAATGCACTCAACATTGGCCCCGGTAGTCAATGAACTGTGAGAAACCCCAGCTGTTGAGTACGTCGTGAGCAATGACCAAAACGGCGACTATTCCACCGCCGTGTGTAGAGAATTCGCCACGGCAAGCGGAGCAGAGGGAAACCCAAGTTGCGTTCAAATTAGCACGATTTTGGCATTTCTTTATCGAGAGGTGCCCGGTTACGTCAGCTTATCTCGGTGCTCTCATGTCATGTCCCCGGCCTCAGCCTCCAACTGACAGGAAGGACACATCCAGCTTATCTCAGTGCTCTCATGTCATGTCCCCAGCCTCAGCCTCCAACTGACAGGAAGGACGCATCCGTAAATTTTCAAAAACTATCTGCTTGCCTTTGAGGTGGTTTTCATTCGCAAGGGTGGTGTAATGAGCCCAAGGCACAAGGAAACTATCATCAGCGGCTCGTGTTGGGGCAGGAAACGTGCCGCAGTCGGGTGTGGTGGATCGTGCTAGGGTCGTGGTCACAAAAGCCCGGGTTCGAATCCCGCCAACGTTGCAGTTTTCATAATGCCGGAAAATCATGAGGTATAGTCTCATCCGAGATCCATTGGCCTCCTAAATTGCCAGTGCTGTCCTCTCCCCTTCTCCGAGTACCAAATCCCGACCCTGAGCACCGGCTAGCGTTGGCTGACGTCTAATGCCAGTGCCGTCCTCTCCCCTTCTCTGAGTACCAAATCCCGACCCTGAGCACCGGCCAGCGCTGGCTGACGTCTAATGCCAGTGCTGTTCTCTCCCCTTCTCCGAGTACCAAATCCCGACCCTGAGCACCGGCTAGCGTTGGCTGATGTCTAATACCAGTGTTGTCCTCTCCCCTCCTCTGAGTACCAAATCCCGACCCTGAGCACCGGCCAGCGCTGGCTGACGTCTAATGCCAGTGCTGTCCTCTCCCCTTCTCTGAGTACCAAATCCCGACCCTGAGCACCGGCCAGCGCTGGCTGACGTCTAATGCCAGTGCTGTCCTCTCCCCTTCTCCGAGTACCAAATCCCGACTCCGAGCACCGGCCAGCGCTGGCTGACGTCAAATCCTGACGTCTCGACACCGGGCTCGTAACGCAGCGGATGTCGCCATTTGCCAAACATCGGGCCCCGTCTTGTCTGATTGCATCCCACGCCAACCAGCCTGCGTTCCCCCGGGGCAATTTCGGCGGTATTCATCCGGGGGCCGCGGCGGCGGTGGCCCCCACACACCAATTGCGGGTTGGGCCCTTAATAACACTGTTATCTGAGTTATGGCGCCGTGGGCTGCCACTACGGCCTGCCGGTCTCGTACAGCTATCGCCGGCCGGACGAGTTCAGGTCTGTGATGAGCCTGGGCGGCGCTGTGACCGGATCTGACCCGATCTTAGAGCGTCGCTTGGGCCAGAATATAGTCCGGTTTTAGATCGGCACCATCTGCTGGAATTTGTCGGAAGAGCACGCGCCAACTAGCACAGGTCATTGAAGGTCATACACATCATGAATCTTAAGCTAACCGCAGCGACAGCCAACGTACGATGGGCAGATATTACTATGCGGTGAACATCGTGTTGTTCCATTACGGCCGGCAGATCGCGTTCAGATCGCTGACCTGAGAGCAATAGACACGGTCATGGTGATTTGGCTGGATATTAGCCGTCCCTAGACGCTGAAATGAAATTATATGGCCCATTCAGGCCTTGGGAACACCTAAGCCAAGACGTGTTGCAAAATGAAGGCATGGGCATTTGCTGCGGGCCTGGCGCTAGATTTCGGGGCACTTAAGCCGGGCCCGACCTCTTCCAGCTCCACGGAAGTGTCAAGCTATGTATGCGCTATGCTACCCGCAGCTCATTTGTGCTCCGACATAAACCAGGCATAGCATACAGCTTCTTTCGATCGCGGCTGAGCAGGGATAATCAGCCGGAATCTGTTCCTCCACTGCATAAGTAATTGCCCGACATTGCACATTACGAGCTTCTGCGAAGCAGTTTCCGACCTTTATCGCACACCACCGCCCGGGACGCCGCGTCGCCGTATTTTATCCGCAGTCCTCTGCAGCCACCATCTGACCTCCTCACCTCCAGCCTGACCTCTCGACCGCTGCGGCGGACACGCGCCGAACAGCGTCCATCCGGGCTCAAACCGGGGCCAAAGGTCACCGGCCGCAGCCGATAAGGCCTGACTGCCGAAATGAGCTCGTAATTTATGAGCGCCGCCAGCTCCGAGGCCCGGGCTCATCCCCGCCCAGATGCGCCGCGTTCGAGTGGGGAGGCGGCACCTTTCCCCCCCCCCCCCCCCCTCCGCACCGCTGCGACATCAGATTCGCTGGAGCTATTTGTTGACATCTTTGCTGTAGCTGTGATGGTTAACCCGTCGTTGTTTAATTGTTAGTTGAGTGATTTTTGTGGTAATTGCAGTTGCATGATGGTTCAAATGGGTCGCAACGAATTTTTGTTTGTGCAGGTTGTCCAGGGTCTGGAGAGGACCTGCCATGACCGATGATAACCCATGGCCATGGTGTCGAACACTTTACACTTTACATTTGACATGTCAACGTTTTCAGGCAGGCCCAGCGTGTAAAATATTCCAATATGCTAAAATGCTTAGAGAACTCCGCGGTTATGTTCATGGTCGGCATGGCTGTATCTCACTATGCAAAGACATTTTTCAAATATTTCATATATATTTTGCACAACTCTCAAAAAGTATCTAGAACATTACGCGTGATAAACATTTCTGAGCAGCTCAAGCATATCCTCTGCATCATTAGTTCCAATGGGCGTCCACACGAACGCTGAGCACGGGTCTGCCGTCGCCACGTGCGGTCTTCCGCTGCCCACAGTCATCCCTCGTCACCACACCAACCGGCTCCGTCCTGCGGGCGTGCTGTCAGCATCGGCGCTCATCCTCACTCCGCCTCCCTCCCCGCAGACTCGGTGGCCGAGCTCTGTCCCTCACTCCGCCTCCCTCCCCGCAGACTTGGTGGCCGAGCTCTGTCCCTCACTCCGCCTCCCTCCCCGCAGACTCGGTGGCCGAGCTCTGTCGCAGCCACTTCCTGCAGGAGGTGAACCGCATCATCGACGGGGCGACCGTCTGGTCGCAGAACGAGCGAAACCTCAGCTGCCAGCTCACCTTCCAGGTGAGCCGGCGTTTGTCCGTCGGCCTAGCCGCTTTCCGTCACCAGAAGTCAGTGCATCCGTCATTGCTCTTCAGTCAAGGAGTCTATCCAGGATCACCTATCACTGCTACATGTATTCACGGTCCGTGCGGAAATCCATGTCTTGGGTATGTATATCAGTCGTGCTCATCGGTCTAGCGGTCATGTGTTCATTGGTCATTGGCCATCGACGGATCCGTTATCAGAAGAGGCGGATTACGACGGCGGCAGCAGGGGACCGTTTCCGGGTCCGGTTCCGGTTCCGTTTCCGGGTCCGGTTCCGGGTCCGGCTCCGGTTCCATTCGAACGAGGTTTTGCCGCCACTGGCTGCCGTGAGCTGTGAGGAAATGGGTTCAAACGTCTCTTGCATGGAGAAACCCGCGTGGCGTGGACGTGATGTGTGGATGTACGTGTGCACGGCGTGTGGATCTTTCCTCGTCTTGATCCAGGTGTCGCGTATAGGGCCGTGAATGCTCCTCGCTAGAGCCAGGGTAACAAGTGTTCGTCACAGGCTGCAAGCCGTGATGTCGCCGCAGCGCACCTTGAGCCTGTGCACTCCGTTTAACCTGGTAGACCAAATCTACTAAGCGAACAATCGAAAAATGAATTTGGCAATTCAGCTGAAAAGGCCTCCCGCATGTCTTTGTCTAAATAGTCTCCCCGTCCTCCGAACATAACAATGATCTGATTTCAGATTAATAACGATGAATAGTATTGATGATGATATGATGATGATCATAATTATGTCGAATGATGCTGCTAAATGATAATGATGATTCATGGCCATTAATGATGATGCTGACGAATGGCGATGAAGATGATGAATGATGATGATTAATGACAACACACATGATGAATGCTGATTTTGATACATGGTGTGAATGGCGATGAATGATGATGGTTGCTGCTGCTGCTGCTGGTGATGAACTCTGTCCCGTGAACTCAACTGACCTCCGGCGGGGTCTCGGCAGACGGAGGCGATCCTGCAGCGGCTGATGGTGAGGTTCGACAAGTTGCATCTCGACTGCAACGACCACCTCTACATCCATGATGGTGCTCACGCCATCAGTGGCAACCATAAGGTGCGGTACTCATGTCATTAACGGCAACCATACGGTGCGGTTCTCACGCCATCAGCTGCAACCATAAGGTGCGGTGCTCAAGCCATCAGCAACAGCCATAAAGGGCGGTGCTCATGCTATCAGCGGCGAGCATAAGGTGCGGTGCTCATGCCATCAGCAACAACCATAAAGGGCGGTGCTCATGCTATCAGCGACGAGCATAAGGTGCGGTGCTCTTGCCATCAGAGGCAACCATAGGGCGCGGTGCTCACGCCATCAGCAACAGCCATAAAGGGCGGTGCTCATGCTATCAGCGGCAAGCATAAGGTGTTGTGCTCACACCATCAGCGGCAGCCATAAGGGTGCGGTGCTCACGCCATCAGCAACAACTATAAAGGGCGGTGCTCATGCTATCAGCGGCAAGCATAAGGTGCGGTGCTCACGCCATCAGCGGCAGCCATAAGGTGCTGTGCTCACGCCATCAGCGGCAACCATAAGGTGTTGTGCTAACGCCATCAGCGGCAGCCATAAGTTGGGGTGTTCACGCCATCAGCGGCAACCATAAGGTGCGTAGGGTAGGCGGTCCCGCTCGCCCGGCTCCAATTGGACGCCAATAACGACAGCGGTTAAAATTATCTGCCGAGTCAGTGTGCGTGCATGACGAAACGTTACCTAAGCATGGCACATAAGGTACAGGAAATATGCCTGTCCCTGTCCCATGTTCGAGATCATACGAAGATCAATATGTTGTGACACAGCAGTTGCTAGGCTACGAACCACTGCGAGAGGTGATGATGGGGACTTGTTTATCTATGCAAGTACCTTTAAATCCTAGCATGTATTGAGTTGTCGAATATCTGAAAACATATTCATTATCCGCTATTAAGTATCGAGCGGTCGGAAACGAAGGGTGACTCGTGGGATTTTCCAGGCTGACCTGTCCTGCCGAAACACTAAAGAATCGGTGGGGACTCTCTACACACGCAGCAACTTTGTCACGCTAAACTACAAGACGGACGGCTGGGGCACCAGCAGAAACGGCTTCAAGATTGTCATTACTGCCTTCAAACCCGTCGGCAAGAACCAAGCTGGTACGTAGGGGGAGTACGTTGCGTGATGCGGTTGCTTGAGTGCTCGTTACATGGACGTAATGAATTTCTTGACATGTAACCCAAGACTAAGTTTATGAGTGAATTAGTGCGTTGTTGGAACCCTAGATTAAGATGAAGGGAACAACTTGCACATGCTGATCTCGGGTAAAATAACATACACTGCTAGATTAATTAAAATTAAAAAGTTTGCCTCGAGTTCAAAAACCGATTCCGGTCGTACTGCAAGCGATCTCAGTGGAATCTAGGATGACTTTCTGTTTATTGAGGGTTTGCGATTACCGATCTGTGTGTAATTTTGAGCTCTGCAACGTGTTTGCATGTTTAGAAAACATAAATATGGAATACGTAGTTTCTGTTAATGATTCCTCGGGGATGTGTCTCCTTTGTGGTCAGCAAATGCTGTACTTTTTCTTTCTTTTTCTTTTTGGACGTATCTTCATGGACTTCACCTTCATGTTTTCATTTACGCAAGACTTAGAACCATCGAGAAGCTTTTTATCAAATGTGTAGCTGATTGTAGCATGCTGCTCTACGTTGTAAGCCACTTTATTTTTGCCAGGTGTTCTTTTGTGCTGGAATAATCTGCGAAGTTTTGGCTTTAACACGGGCACAATAAGACTATTGTCACCTAATATTACTTAAACGCACGCCCGAGCGGGGGAGAGGGTTATTTAATCCCCCCCACGAAGGTTTTCCAGAATAATTTCCCAGCGGCGTGGTATAGCTGCGCCAAAATATGTGTAGCTGTAGGTAATTGAACAGTGATCTTGAGTTGTTCAGTTTTGCTCCATATTTGATGACGAGATTCGTAGGCAATAAAGCAATTTAATTTATGATTAAAGCAAATTCCAATGACCTAGGGACAGGTATGAAGGCCAGGTCAAGATTTAAGCCATCTACGTTGCTACCCGAGAGCTTGCTGTATATGATAGCTTCTGGCGAATATTTCGACTTTATTAATAGCAGGGACCGCCACAGACATCTTTCAGGGACTTCTTGAATTTCAGAGTAGCCCACTAGCCTAAAATGACCCCAGGCCAACAATTTGTGTGTAGTGACCTACCGCCTAGCTTAATCCTTAATGGTGACTCAAATGCAGAAATCAAAGCAATCTCACAGGATTTTGGATTACCATGACCCTCTAAAGGTCAAAGAAAGCCATTGGGATTAAACGTACACCAAAGAACATGTTCTTAGAACGAATATCTCGGTTAAACGCGGCTGCATGAGGAGGTCTGAGGTACTTTAAACGCCAATTCGGAGTTTAACCTTGTTTGACTTTATTGACCCAAATGTCATAACTTCGGCACTTTTCATTTTTAAACAAGTAGGTTTACATCCGGAATTTCCTCGCCTTTTGTACCTGTAGCTCTCTTAGTTTTTGAGATATCTGTGCGCGACTATTGAGTCAATCAATTGACGCCCACCCGAGCGAATGGTATTGAACCGGCTGCCCGGGCCGCCGTTAATTATGTAAGCGATTTAGCTCACAGTGCTAGGGCCGAAAACAAGGCACCGAATGACATTTCATGCATTTAGGATGTGTCGGGTTTTGAACTGCCTCTTGATTTTCCGCTCATTTTAGAAAGAAACCGTTTTTAATGCTTGTTTAATGCTTTTAGTGGTTTTAATACTTTTCCGGCAAATGCAGCCTCGTTCAGAAAGTTTTTGTTTGGTGATCGCAGCCTGTGCGCTATCACTCATGCTTCAGTAGGGTTATTCGAAACCAGCATAGTAGCTCATGATGACAATGAGACTGGATGTAATATTGCGTGCAAACGCATTCAAAGAGCTCCGGCGTGATTAACCTGACTGAATTCATGCTGCTGTCGTATTTTGAGGACAGACACACGCCGTGTTAAAATAAATGCATTTCTGCAACACCAATCTATGATCTAGGGCTTCCGATTTCAATCACTTCGTCATTCGTAACTTTAGACGTTTTCTATAAACATTGATAAGATATTTTACACTATGCAGTGTTGGTGTAGAGCAGGTCGTTGTCATAGCAAAACGTGGCTGCAAATTGCTTGACCAGGATGCGAACTTAAACAACAGTCACAACCGTCCCACAAGTGAGCCCCTTCACCAGCTGCAGCCGGACGTAACCTGCGGTCCCTGCTGTTACAGCCGAGTGCGATGGCTTCGTGTGCCAGCGGCACTGCATCTCGAGCCACCTACAGTGCGACGGTGTGGTCCACTGTCCGGACGGTGGCGACGAGTCAGTCCGGGCCGGCTGCGTCGGTACGTGACGTCATCACCAGAAGTACCCGATCCCACAACCCCACGAGGAGGCAGGGACGAAACGTGGAAGTGCATTCATCGGAAGGGAGGCAAATCATGGAAATCACATGAGTGTCTCCTATTAATCGTATTTTACACGGTTTGGCCCGATGCATCTACAGCTATGTCATCCATAGCAAACTTTACTGGACGTTTCATCAGAAACTCTGCCAGGGAACCTAACCAGGGGAGGGGCTTTTGGGGCAATGTGCCCTGGACGGGTGACGGTGGGTCCGGACAGTTTTGATCAGTTTAAGACACTCAAAGGACTTCTAGAGAATAAAAGCCTCCAACCCTTAAGAAGGACCTGCAGAGTCCTGAATTCGAAAACAAGGTCTCTAAGCGACGGATAAGAACCGTTGGCTTGGAACGCGCAAACTATGTCTCGGTTTGTTCTCTCCTGGGAGAAATGCTGGCTGCGCCACTGGCTCCTCCCCATGCACAAGACACATTGTTATACGCGCTCCAGTTTAAAGGAAGGGAAGTGTCCGTTGACGTTGAGTAAAACGACCCCGAATCGGAGAAACACTGTAACATGGGGTGGTTTTTACGGAATTAACTTGTTCGATGGTTGCTATGGTCCAGTAAGTTTTCCAATGAACAAGTCACGAGAGGCAAGTTTGGCCACTTGAGAATTGCAAGCAGCGAACAGAAGTGCTCCTGGTTCTGTATCAAGTGGCGGTCTGCTGGTGGCAGACGTGGCCGCTCGTCTTGCAGTTTAAACGCCCCAGGAACGTTTTTGACAGTCCCGTACACTACCAATCCACTCATATGCCTTATCAATTACTCCCCATGTGACCATGTTCGAATCAGCGGCACTCAATCCGACTTTCATCAGGATCGATTCGACACGGGACTATCTTAAAGACTTATCTGTTGCTAACCATCACCGCCGGTTTTCGGCCGGCTTGTTTATGCCTGCGCTTCCCCTGATCTT